TTTTGATGACCAATTTCTTGAGTTCTTTGTATATTTTGGAGATCAGACCTCTGTCTGATATGGGGTTAGTGAAGATCTTTTCCCATTCGTAGGTTGTCATTTTGTCTTGTTGACCGTGTCCTTTGCTTTACAGAAGCTTTTCGGTTTCAGGAGGTCCCATTTATTAATTGTGAAGAAATTGATTTTTGTTGTTGTTGTTCTTGAAGCCTTACACTGTAGCCCATGCTGGCTCAAACTTGTATTAGTCCTGCTTCAGCCTCCAGGTCCTGAGCCACCATTGATAATACAAATGTGTCCTTAAACTGTTTTTGTTCAGGCATAGTGTCATATACCTGTGATCCCAACATTTAGGAGGATCAGAAGTTCACTGTTGAAGCCCAGGCATGGTGGTATGCACCTTTAATCCCAGCTCTTGGGATGCAGAAACAGGTGGATCTCTAAGAGCTCGAAACTAGCCTGGCCTACCAAGTGATTTCCAGGACAGCCAAGGAAACACTGTTCATGCACACAGGGAGTTTGAGGCTAGCCTGGGCTCAAAAAAAATGAAGCAAAACAAAAGACTGCCCCACAACCCAATTGCTTCTATTTTTAGAGTTTAAATTTTTTTTTAAGATTTATTTATTATGTATATAATGCTCCTTCTGCATGTACACCTCCATGCCAGAAGAGGGCACCAGATCTCACTACAGATGGTTGTGAGCCACTAGATGGTTACTGGGAATTAAATTTAGGACCTCTGTAAGAGCAGTCAGTGTTTTCTCTCTCCTCCTCCTCCTCCTCCTCCTCCTCCTCCTCCTCCTCCTCCTTTTTTTTTTTTTTTTTTTTGAGATAGGATTTCTCTGTGTAGCCTTGGAGCCTGTCCTGGAACTAGCTCTGTAGACCAGGCTGGCCTCGAACTCACAGAGATCTGCCTACCTCTGCCTACCGAGTGCTGGGATTAAAGGTGTGTGCCACCACCACCCCGCTGTTGTTTTGTTTTTTGGGGGACAGGGTTTCTCTGTGTAGCCCTGGGTGTCCTAGAACTTACTCTTTAGATCAGGCTGACCTGGAACTCAGAGATCCTCCTCCTCTGCCTCGAGTGCTGGGATTAAAGGCGTGCTCCACCCCAGCGCAGCCTAATGCTACACACTTAGGGACAGGCTCCCACAGATTTGTGGCATATTACTGGTAAGTGCACCCCTTCCTGCAGAGCCTTAGCTCACATGCCAGTACACTTAAGAATGAAAGCTACTAGCTGGTGAGGTGGCTCAGCAGTTAGAGGCAGTTCCCATCAAGCCTGACAGAGTGAATTCTGTCTCAGGAACCCACATGGTAAAAGAGAACCAAACCCAAAAGTTGTTCTCTCACCTCTACATTTTTTTTTTTCCCGAGACAGGATTTCTCTGTAGCTTTGAACCTGTCCTGGAAACTAGCTCTTGTAGACCTGGCTAGCCGCAAACTCACAGAGATCCACCTGCCTCTGCCTCCCGAGTGCTGGGATTAAAGGTGTTGCCACCACTGCCCAGCCTCACCTCTACATGTGTGCTACCCTCCACCATACATACATGTTTTAAATAACAAAACAAGGCAAGCTACTGTGCATAGCCATTATGAGACTCATCCAGGGAGCTAGGGTTCACTTTGGCTCACAGTTCAAGACTACAGTCCATCATGGAGGGAAGTAATGACAACAGGTTGAGGCAGCTGGTCACAAGGCACCCATAGTCAGGAAGCAGAGAGAGAGAAATGGCAGTGGTCAAGTCCCCTTCTTTTTTTGGGGGGGGGGGCTCAGAACCCCAGAATATAGGACGGTGCTGCAAACAGTTAAGAAGGGTCTTTTTGTCAGGCAGTGGTGGCACAGGCCCTTAATCCCTGCACTCGGGAGGCAGAAGCAGGCAGATCTCTGTGAGTTCGAGGCCAGCGTGGTCTACAAAGCAAGTTCAAGGACAGGCACCAAAGTTACACAGAGAAACCCTGTCTCAAAAAAAGACAAAAACAAACAAACAAACAACAACAGAAAGGGTCTTTCCTCGTCAATTACCCTAATCTAGATAATCCCTCCTAAGAGAGACCAGAGACTTGTCTCCTTGGCAGATTGTAGATACTGTTGGATTAACAATCAATACCCTGCCATCTCTGGAGTGTTGGCGGGACACGGGAAGCTTGCTCTGTGGTCGCCCCTGCACTCCACCCTATGCTTGCTTCTTTGCGGCTGTTGATCTGCTGCCCCCTACTGTGTCGTTTGACTGTGAAATGTCTATCACAGGCTAGTGCGTTTGAATACTTGTTTGAACACTCTCAGCTGGTTGGCACTCTTTTGGGAAGTTGTGGAACTTTTAGGAGGTGTGGCTTAGCTGGAGAAAGTGAGTGGCTGATGAGCCAGCCTTGAGGGCTACAGTCCGGACCAGTTCCTGTCATTCCTGTCTTTGTCCTCTATGCCTCCAAACTATGAAGGGACTGGGTTAATACCTCCACCCACACGGGCTGTCTGCGGTCATGCCTTTCCTGGCATAATGGACTTTAGCCCCTCAAATCAAGAGCCAAAACAAATCTTTTCTCCCTTACGTGGCATTTGATGGGTACACTGCTACAGCGACCAGAAAAGTAGCTGCTTTGCTTGATTCTCCCACCAGAACTGCGTCAAGGGAAGAACCTGCCGGTGTTCTTTGTCTGACGACCCAGGTGTGGCGCTCTCAGAGTCAGAGTGGGTGACAGGTGGTTGCTATCAATTTGTGTGCTGTAATGGTGAATTTAGAATTTTGTTTTTTCGCTGTTCGGTATAAATCTAGGGCATAGTAGGCAAGGGCTAGCCACTGTTCTACAGCTCCAGCTCTTGAGTTTTTTAATAAACAAAACGAGCGAAAGTTCAGGAAACAACGAGGGCAGACAGCGTGTTAAACAGTCTAACCACGCAGCCCGAGGACTTAGGCCAGGCCCCGCCCCCGAATGGGGGCCACGCCCACTCCTCCCCCACCCCCCCCCCCCAGCCCGCAAAGACTCGCCCCGGCGCCCGGGGTCCCGCGGGAGGGGGTGGGGCAGGCGCAAGCGCAGAGAGCGCGGGCGCGGTTGCCGTGGTAGCGCCTGCCAGAGGGAGGGCGGCGGCGCGGGGCCAGGACCCCGGCGGGCAGAGGCGGCGACGCGGCCACCCGAGAGTGTGCGGCCGGGCAGCTGAGAGTCGGGCGCCTCGCCCTGCTGGCCGGTGGGGATGCGGGACCGGCTGCCCGACCTCACGGCGGTGAGCGGCGCACCAGATAGCGGTCCGGGCCGGCGGGCGGGGTGCTAAGGGTTCGGGGCAAAGACCCCAGGAGGGATCCGGGGAGAGGGATGATGGGGGAGGAACTCACGAAGAGGAGTCTAGGAACAGGACCCTAGGAGGAGCCTGAGTGTGTGTGTGTGGGGGGGGGGTCGGGAGGGGAACCCAGGAGGGGGGGGCTGGAGAGGGGGACCAGGGAAGAGAGCTCTGAGGAAGAACACCCCGGGAGGGAACTGGTCCGTGTCTCTCGGAGGGGTCTAATAAGAGGGTTCCAGGTGTCGTGTGGCCTCCAGAGACACCCGGGTCTCCAGGGGTGGCAGGGAGTAGTCTTCGGGAAGGACCCAAGCGGCCTTGGAGCAAGGTTCCGGGGCTTGGACTCCAGGGTATCCAAGAGTCACAGGATACACTCGTAGACCTAAACAGTGTTTCTGAGCAGGTTCTCGGGAAGGGCTCTAGGGTTCCTGGGTCTTCAAGGGTGTTAGGATAGGGTATCAGGAGGGTTCCTGGGATGACATCTCCATGGGTTCCTGGGACAGGACTCCTGGGGTTCCCTGGGTACCAAGGGACTCAGGTTGTTGGGACTCCAGGCGTGGGCAATGGGAGAGGTCCAGAGCCTGTGTTGGCTGCATTCTAGTCTGGGACACAGGTTCCGGTAGGTGTCCGGGGGTGCCTTTTTTCTGCCTGCATTGGCACTATACCCCTGTCTGATGTGGACTGATGTTTGGGTCAGGATCCTTTTGGCCGCTGATGACTGATTTCAATGAGTGAGAGTGTGGTTCAGGAGCAAGGGCTGTGCTTGGACCTCCTGGCCTGGACTGATGTTTGATGCCTTCTTGGGACTCACTATGGCACTGCCTGCCTGGTCTTTTTGCAAGGCTCTTATCGCAACGTCTCCAACTGTATGCCCCACCCTGTAGGGGTCCCTTTTCCCACGGCCTTGTTTCGCGGCCTGATACAGAAGGCTGTACCAAGGGTCCAGTCACTCCACACAAACTTGGAGCTCAGGGCTAGGCGCCTGGTGCAGTGAACACCACCCACAGCTGTGTTAGGTATTTCCCCAGTGCACTGGGGACCAGAAATGTGTTTACGTTTTAACCCAGGGCTTTAGTCACTAGTGAGCATCGCAGCAAGAGAAAGGCTGAGCGTTTAAAGGGGAAAAGGGGGCAAGGGGCTTACAGTATATATGTCTACATCTGCAGTGGACACAGTCGTTGTACCCTCTTTTGGGGTATAATGGGACAGTCAAGACACGTATGCAGTGCGGGCCCAGTCAGGGTGACTGACCATCCCATCTCAGGTGCTTATCATTTCTTTGGGCTGAGGACCTCAAGACCCTCCTCAGTAGCTACTTGCAGGCATTGACCGTAGTCACCCACTGCAGTGCAGAGTGTTGGAAGGCATTTTCGCTCTCCAGCTGGACCCCAGAGCCCCCTGTCTACACTGTTCCCTGGTACCCTTCCCAGACCCCGGAACCATTCTGTTTTCTACTCCCCGGAGAGCAGCTTTTTGAACGTCTACACACTTCGCGCTTGTGTTTCTGTGCTGATTGGCTTTGTGACCCTCACCCCCAAGGGGCGTCTTTTGCTGGATCCAGGTAGAAACCTGGGAAGGGAGAGAAATTGCTTCTAGTGCTGGACTCTGGCAGATTTTGTTGACAGCTCTGAGGAGCAGCAGCAGGTGGTGCCCTCTAGTGTCACAGCTCTAGGCACTGGACAGCGAGGGGGGGTGGGGGACACGCCAGGGATGGACCCTGAGCAAGAGTGCTTGCTGGTGGAGAGTCCTGAGACCTTAACAACTGTTAGAACTGTCTCCGCCGAGGCCTGAGACCCTTGGCCCTAAAGACCTGACGGCCCTCTGGAACTCTTCCCTGGCTCTCAATCTCTGGCCTCAGCTCTGCCGCTCCACTGCTCCTTCCTGTCACGCCCTAGAACTGCTGAGCTGCTTCCAAGTGTGCAGTCAGGGCCACTTTTGCTGCTTCTGCTTCTGCCCCTGTTGACCCTGGTCTTGCCTTTCCTCCCATACAGCTGCTCTGACTCAGTGTGCTTCAGGCTGTCGGCTCCGCTGTCCAGAGCTGCTGCCTCGGCCCCTTTACATGCTCCCAGTCCCTCCTGCCCTAGTAGAAGTAGGTGGGGCAAGACCACCCCAAAGAAACTTGCATGGGTCAGGGCCAGCACAGCCCACTCACCCCATGAACACTGAATGAGCTGGACAACCTGGTTGTATAGACGGCAAAAGTGTGTACCAATCACAGACCTCCTTTGCAAATGAAGGTTTGGATTTGCACCAATTCCAGCATTACCTCTTTGGCAACTGCCCTCTGATTTAGGGGCGAATGGCTACAGGGTCATCCAGAGTTCACAAAGGCTTGTGATAGCAAGAAGTCCAGTGCAGACTGAAAACCCCTAGGAGCTGGAGCAGTCAACCGTAGGCATTGTGTAGGTTCCTCAAAGCATGCAATGTTCAACATGGCTGGTGCTGGCCTAGGGATAGCCCAGATGGCTGTTTGACTGACAGTCAGGCCTTTTGCTTACGGCAGCTGGGGCAACAAGAGAGTCAATTGCCTCATCTACCAGTGTCTTTGCTTGCTAACAGGAAGATGAACATTAGAAAGAATGCTTATGATAAAACCTTAAGAGCCTGTCATTGTCTCTAATGCTAACTTAACAGTGCTTGAGCTGTGTGTATTATTTTCCCGGGCCCCAAGGAGTAGTCCCCTTTGTCTAACGTCATTCACTGTAACCAGCTTCTAGTTCTATCTATACTGCTGCACATGAAGTGTCAATCAGTCTTTTAGGGCTGGATTGTATTCAAAGTGACTTGACTTCATGCTTTTCATTGTGTAAAGATGCTACCACTATAAATGTGGTGGTCACTGTGAAAGTGGAGGTGGTGATGATACAGTGGGCAAGCATTGAGACTGTCGAGGTCACCAGAATCAGCTGGACTTCTTTCTTGAAAGTAAAAGAATGATTTCTGCTGGTCGTGGCTGGCTTGGCTTTGCAGCAGAAACACAGCTTCTGCTCTTTGAATGGTTGCAGCCTTTGGAGCAGGGTCTGAGGCCCACTGCCCAAAGACCTGGTTTCTTAAACGTTTCCACTAGTGACCCCTTTTCACTTGAGAAATTTTTACATGAGCCTGCATATGGAAGTCTGTAAAATAGTTGTACAAATGGAGTCTAACTGGTGATGATAAATCATAGATGTGTCTTTAAACAATTGCTCAGGGTTTATCACTTCTCATTTGTCAAGGATGACAGCAGATGAGATGGATGTGTTTGTTTTACGTAAAGAATCAAATCTTGACTCAATATTTGATACTACAGGATTTAGAGCACAGCCTTGCTATTTGATTTTATAATTGTCAGTGCCCCAAAGCCCCTCCGTATAAATATATGCGTAGTAAAAAGTGGCAAAGTATGCTGAGGGCCATCTCAGAAGATGGTGGGAGTTCTGTCCTAATCCCAAACCTAATTCATTGATTTTTTTTCTAAATGTAACTCAAGTCAATTTAAAAACAAATACATAAACATGATGTGATATATTTATTTGAGAGCATACTTGGAGTTGTTTCTGTCTCCACCATTTGAGTCTTTAGCCACACTGAGGTTGTCAGGCTCGGTGGTAGGCACACTGACTCACTGAGCCATCTCACTGGCCCCAGTAAGACCTTATTTATTCCAGGATTTTCAGAAATAGGGCGATATGTGAATCGGTGGGCTAGGGAAATGGCTTAGTTGTTCAGCTGCTTGCCTTGCAAGCGTGAGGACAATGGGGTCAATTCTCAGACCTACATTTTATTTTATTTTTTCTTAAAGATTATATATTATGTATACCTTGTGCTCTCTGCATGTATGCCTGCAGGCCAGAAGAGGGCACCAGATTTCATTACAGACAGTTGTGAATCACCATGCGGTGGCTGGGAATTGAACTCAGCACATCTAGAATAGTCAGAGTCAGTGCTCTTAACTGCTGAGCCATCTCTCCAGCCCCAGACCCACATTTTAAAAGGCACCTTGGTACATACTTAAATTCTAACTCTGGGGAGGTGGAAATAGCTTCCTGGGGCTCACTGGAGTTCAGGGCAGTGAGAAACCCTATCTTAAAAGTCAAGGAGGACAGTGCCTGAGGAATGACAGCTAAGGATGTTGCCCGGCTTTCCCATATACATACACTAGGGTGTATGCCTCTCCGTACACATTGCCTGTGTGTGTTATACACAATGAGTATGTTACTTGGTTTTCTTGTAGGATTTCGGACCTGGAAGTAACCTTATCTGTTCCAGTTCCCTGCCATTTCCATGCAAGGACCAAGCAGTTAGCAGCATAGTGGAAGCTTCCACTGTGGAGCTCAGGCCAATGAGTGGTGAACCTCAGTTGTTTCCTCCTGTGCTAAGGACAGAAGTCAGGGCTTTATGGGCGTGCAGCCAGTGTCTTCCACCGAGCCCATCCTCTGCCCAAGCAATTGATATCCAGACCTCTCTGTACTTTGCCTTTCTTGTGCGACAGCTCTCTTTCTGCCTCTCAGAGAGAGGTGTGTATCTAACACAGGAGCCTCTGGAACGGGGAGGCAAGTGCCAGGGCTTACACTGTTGATAGCCTACTAGATTCTCCATTTTCGGGAAGTTAGAAAAAGCTACTTTCTCTTTAACATCTCTAGTTTAAAATTATCTGACTTGAATTTGGCATGTTTAAAGTAACATGTTTGTTTTCCTTTTGGTTGAGGAGGTTTGGGGAATGGTCTCACACAGCAGCCAGGCCAGCCTGGACTTATTGTGTAGCCTCAACCAACCTTGACCTCCTAGCAAGCCTCCTGCCTCAGTCTCCTGCCACAGGCAAGAGCATCCGAATCAGGCAGCTGTAATTGGAACGTTTGGGAGGTGGAAGCAGAAGGGTCAGAAATTTAAGGCATCCTGAGTTCACAGCTTCTGGCCTGGGCTACATGATCCCCTGTTTCAAAAGACAAACAAAAAGGGCTACTTACCAGATAAGTTTAATTGTTGTTTAGTTAAAAATACATTCTTGAAATTTTCAAGTAGTTTGGAATGGGTTGCCTGCCTCTTCGTGTCATATATCCAAATGCGGCTTTTTAACAAATAAGATCTAGTGTTTAATTTTGTGGTTAAAATGGCTAAACTGCAATGGCCACAGTGACCCAGAGTTTGAGGTTTCGCAGAAAGGTTCCTCATTAGCTGTTTATACATCCGCCTGAGGAAAAGGTGTTTGTGGTGATCACCTGTGAAAGATTCAAAAATTGCCTCGTTTGGCCAGGCGGTGATGGCTCACACCTTTAATCCCAGCACTCGGAAGGCAGAGGCAGGCAGATAGATCTCTGTTAGTTCGAGGACAGCCTGTTCTACAAGAGCTAGTTCCAGGACAGGCTCCAAAGTTACACAGAGAAACCCCGTCTCGAAACAAACAAACAAAAACCAAAACAAAAAATAAAATGCTACCTCATTTGAATAGCAGTGAGAGGTTGAGGCCAGAAGGTCCTGAGTTCCAGGTTAGCTTGGGTGATGTAGTAAGTCCTTATTGCAGAAGAAGATTAATCGTGGTAAACAGTTTGCATTTACAGATCTTGTATGGTCCGAGAGAAGCTTCCTGCTTTGGTCCACTGTTCATTTAACACAAAACCCCAAGAAACTTGCCTGGGATTGCTTAGACTCTGCGTCCAGAGTGCCCGTCTCTGGCAGAACGTACGAGCACAGAGAGAATGCCAGGTCTGAGCTAAATGAGACACTAGAGACAGACTAAAGTGAATTGGCCGTATGCCGTGGATTCGTGGTTGAGGGAGGAAGAGTGAGGGTGTTAATAAAACAGAATGGATTAGGTCATGTATAGGAGATTCTGGGTTTTCCCGTGGACCAATTATTTCCTGTTTTTGCTCGAACCAGAGTGGCCTGAGAGCATCTGCCATGGCTAAACTTCCTCTTGGCCTCTTGGCTGCAGGATAAGCCCACTTCCTGACAGTTTCCTTAGCCTCCCTGGCCCTGCATGCCTCCCTCTTGGCCTTGCTCACACCTTCACCACCAGGAAGTTCCTGTCTGGTTTTTCTCCCTGTCCCTGGCAATGGTCACCTTCTGTCCTAGCAGCCTGCACAGAGGTGCAGAATGGTGTCTCTCCATGTGCCCCTGATTCCCTAATCACCCTTTCTTTAACTGCTGCCACCAGTGTATGTGCCTCTGAGACGCTGGGTACATTTTCAGGTCACGGCTCATTCTCAAAGAGGATTGCCAGGGTAGTTGAGGTGTTCATGGTCCCAGGGCAGCATGTGGTACCCTCAGGCAGCCTTTTCCCTCCCCTCCCTCTCTGCCTCCTGTTACCTGCCTGCCTGCCTTCTTTCCTTCCTTTCTTCCTTCCTCTCCTCCCTCCCTCCCTCCCTTCCTCTCTCCCTCCCACCCTCCCTCCTTCCCTCCCTTCCCCCTTCCTTTCATTATCTTTGTCTTATTGTATATCCCAGGTTGGCTTAGAGTTAACCATGTAGTCCAATCGGGCCCCAGGCTCAGGATCTTCCTACCTCTGCTTCTGAGTGCTGGAATTATAGGCATGTCCTACCAACACCAGTTTTTTTGTTTTTCTTTTTCTTTTTCAAGCAGGTTCTCACTGAGTACAGGGTGGCTTCAAGTTGTTTTTTATTTGAGACAGGACCTCTGTGTAGACCTGTTTGTCTTAGAACTTGCTATGTAGACCAGACTGGCCTTGAACTCACAAAAATCTACCTTCCTCTGCCCCCCAAGTGCTGGGATTAAAGGCATGTGGCATTATTGCCAGACTTCCTGGCATCAAATATGAGATCCTCCTGCCCCAGTTCTCAAAGGCATTTGAGGGTTCAGGTGTGAAATCAGAGTGTCAGCACCTCCAAAAGCCGTGGCTGAAAATTTTCTTTGCATCTTGTAGATTCTGAGACCCTGGTCTTCGACACTCCATTCCCAAGCATGCAGATCCCCTGTGCCAACCTGTGCTTTGCTCTTGTCTTCCTTGCTCCGTGATTATCTCAGCGATTGCAGCATCCTCCTTGGGAGTGAGCCATCCTAACTGGGCATGTCAGTGCCCCTGTCCCAAATGTGGTTCCCTTGCCTAGGGCAGTTGGGACATCATACTTCAGCACTGTCCTTCATTCCAGACATCTGGGAGAGCAGTGTGTTGACTGACAGTGTACCTTGGGCTCTGGGAGAAATTACACAGAAGGAGCAGGTGTGTGGCCCCAAGAAACCAAAGGGAGCTGTGCTAGGTTTCATGGATATGTAAGGCATCCTCTTAGGTGATGTTCCTTTTTTTATTAAGCTGGTCCTGGCTATGTGGTTTCATCTCCCTGGTGACAAAGGTTCCTCTCATACTCCTGTCTCTATCTTAGAGCCACACTGCTAGCCTTAACTAACCAACCATCTTATCCATGCAGACAGCACTAGAGAGGGTGCATACGGTGTGGGAAGAGCTGATCAGGCCTTAGGGAGTCATGGGTGGTACGGAGAGAGGCAGAATTGTTGTGCTTTTATAACATATTTCTCTTTCTTTTCTTTCTTTTTTTTGGGTGGGGTGGGGTGGGTAGCATCTCTCTATGTAACCCTGACCAGCCTGGAACTCACCATGTAGACCAGGCTGGTCTGGAACTCAGAGATCCTTGCCTTTGCCTCCCGAGTGCTGGTGTTAAAGGCATGTGCCACACCGCTCGGCTCAATTTATTTATTTATGAAATATTTATTTATTATGTATACAACATTCCTTCCATGTATGCTGGCACGCCAGAAGAGGGCGCCAGCTCTCATTCTAGATGGTTGTGAGCCATCATGTATTTGCTGGGAATTGAACTCAGGACCTTTGGAAGAACAGTCAGTGCTCTTAACCTCTGAACCATCTCTCCAGCCCCACACTGCTTGGCTTTGACACATTTCTTAAATTCATAGGATTTTGTTTGCAAGTTTTCCTGGGTGGTAAGGGGGTACTGCTATGTGTCAGGCCTGCGAGGTAAAGGCTCGATTCCTCAAGCAGTGGAGGTAGGTTCCTAGGGTGCCTTGGCAGCCTCAACTGCAGGGAGGGAGGCTGGGAGGCTGGACTCACAAGGCCTGTGCTGACTCACAGGGCTGCCCTGGGGGAGAGAGCTCGGCAAGTCCCTCCCCGTGCCTCGTGGCAGGCTGGGCTCAGCTGGGGGATTTAGAGACCAGCTTCTAGAGGTGGGGTGGGGGAGGGGAAGGGGACATTTAGAGCTGATGACAAAAGCTGCTTCCAGCTAATTAGAGTTTTCTGTGCTGCTAGAGGCTTTGACTGTTTAGAAGGGAGGCTTCCAGGTGGGTTACCACACAGGCAGTCCCAGCATCTCTCTAGCATCCTGTGCAGACACAAGCCCCCAGGCCTCAAAGGCAGCAGCAGCTGGGCTATAGTACATCATCATCCAGCACCCTCAGGATCCAAGGCCATGCGTCAGGCATAGGAAGTGCCTGGTTCTGTATCTTTGATCCTGTGTTAGGCTGTTGCTAACTGTGTCTGTAATGTCACTGTCATCTTCTCCCAGTGTTACTTGACCCCAACTCCTCTTTCCTTATCAGATTGTTTGTTATTAAACACAGTGTATAGTGGTCACTCTCCTCTTAGAAAGTAAGGGTGTCAGCGACATACCTCGGAAGTTACTGTGCACCCTACAAAAGTCAGCTACTGCTGTCAGCAGCTTGGGCTCCCGTTTTCCAGGCTGGCCTTGAACGCAGTATATAGTAGAGGTCGACCTAGAACTTCTGATCATTTTGCTTCCACCTCTCAAGTGCTGGGATTATAGGAGTGCACCAACAAACCCGTTTTCTAAATGGTGTTTTTTTTGTTTTATTTTTTTGTTTTTGGAGACAGAGTTTCTCTGTGTAGCCCTGGCTGTCCTGGAACTTGCTCTGTAGATCAGGCTAGCCTGCTTTCCTCTGCCTCCTGAGTTCTAGGATGATTAAAGGTATACGCCATCATCGCCTGGCTTAAAAAAAGATTTATTTTATGTATATGGGTTTTTTGTTTGCATGTTGACTGCACACCAGAAGAATACATCAGATCCATGGGACAACAGTTATAGACAGTTGTGAGTCACCATGTGGTTGCTGGGAATCGAACCCAGGTCCTCTGGAAGATCAGCCAGTGCTCTTTTTTTTTTTTTTAAATATTTATTTATTTATTTGTTATGTATACAATATTCTATCTGTGTGTATGCCTACAAGCCAGAAGAGGGCACCAGACCTTATTACAGATGGTTGTGAGCCACCATGTGGTTGCTGGGAATTGAACTCAGGACCTTTGGAAGAGCAGGCAATGCTCTTAACCACTGTGCTCTTAACCACTAAGCCATCTCTCCAGCTTCCACCCCCAGTAGCATTTTTCATCTTTACAGACCATGAACATATTACAGGGATGGTGATGTAGTCCAGTGCTGAGTACTTGCTTAGCGAGCTCAGAACCCAGAATCAATCATCCGAATGACTCTGTGTATGTGTGTGATGTGTGTGTACAGTACGTCGGCTCTTGGGGACGAACCTGTGGTGAGTGGCCCTGATTGAGGTTAAGATGAACGTGAACGTGCCTACACAGATATCTGGCCTTTGTTTTCTTCCCCCATTGGTGTCACCTGTCACAATGAAGGAGCTGCAGAACTAGATGGCTGCAGGCTGTGGCGTGCGGCTGCTCTGCTGCTCTTGGCACCCAGTGCACAGCTGAGGTGCTTTGGGTCCCGAGTTCAGCCTCTGAAACTTTGAAAATGTTTTCTATTGCAGTGTAGGAAAAATGACGATGGAGACACTACTGTCGTCGTTGTTGAAAAGGACCATTTCATGGATGATTTCTTCCATCAGGTAAGCATTTAATGAAGTGCAGCCTCAGACTTTACCTTACTCTAGTAGTGTTTGTTGTCACATGCAAAACAGGACGCCCATGTACTCTGGAACTGGCGTGGCTAACGGTGGACCTTATACCTGGCTGTGGTACCAAGAGGTTGTGCCACTGCTGCCACCTGCATTCCATGCCACCCCCACAGAGAAGTCAGCTAGCCACATGGTCCTCAGTATGTCCGAGTAATGTCTCCCTGTGTGGCCCAGGTTGTTTAGCGTTTTACCCTGCCGTCCTGCTGCCTCAGCCTCCTGAACATGGCTGTTTTTTTATAGTAATTTGAATTTTTTTTTTTTTTTTGAGATAAGGTTTCTCTGTAGCTTTGGGACCTGCCTTGGAACTCACTTTGTAGACCAGGCTGGCCTGGAACTCACAGAGATCCACTTGCCTCTGCCTCCCGAGTGCTGGGATTAAAGGTGTACACCACCACTGCCTGGCTAAAGTTGTTTGAAATGTGTAAGTTCTTTGGGACTTTCAGCATCATTGACAGCTAATATCAAGACAGATTCAAGTGACTATGCATGCAGACAACCTGGAAGGGAAGGCTGGATAGGCACAAGGGTTGGAGGCACTGTGGGACATAGGACCAGTGGTGGGTGGGTGGGTCAGGGCTCTCTTTCTGTCACTCTCTTTCTGTGCCGCTCTTTCTGTGACTCGGAGCTGCAATGTCCCAAGCAGTACTTCCTCCTTTGGGAAGCCAACCACATCTCTGGAGTGGCTTTTTAAAGGGTCTCACCACAAGACTTGTGACTTCTTAGGAACCCAGGCTCTTTGGAAGCAAGAATTCTGGCTTTTTGAACTCAATGTCTGGGGTGACTTTTGTTGTTGTAGTTGACCGCAAGTGGAGCAGGGTACTTGTACTCTGGGACCATTTTTTTTTATTCTTTGTTCTTTTTGGGGCCCACCACTCAGCTCCCAAATGAATCACATAGAGTCTTATTGTTTTTTTATGAATGCCCAGTCTTAGCTTGGCTTGTTTCTAGCCAGCTTTTCTTAACTTAAATTATCCCATCTACCTTTCTTCCTCCCCCCCCCTCCCCCCCTCTGAGACAGGGTTTCTCTGTGTAACAGTCTTGGCTGTCCTGGAACTTTCTCTGTAGACCAGGCTTGTATATGGAAGTTTCTGTCCTGCCTAGTTCTGCAGCTATTCAGTCCCAACAAAACACACAGAGACTTATATTAATTACAAACTGTTTGGCCTACTAGTTCAGGTTTATTATTAACTAGCTCTTACAGCTTAAATTAACCCATAATTCTTGTCTGTATTTAGCCTCGTGGTTTAGTACCTTTTCTCAGTGTAGGATTTTCATCTTGCTTTTTCTGTGTCTGTGTGGTGACTGCAGACTGAGCCTTTCCTTTTCCTAGAATTCTCCTAGTCTGGTTGCCCCGCCTATATTTCCTGCCTGGCTACTGGCCAGTCAGTATTTTTTATTAAACCAATATTAGTAGCAATCTTTTATTTATTTATTTATTTATTTATTTTTCTGAGACAGGGTTTCTCTGTGGCTTTGGAGCCTGTCCTGGAACTAGCTCTTGTAGACCAGGCTGGCCTCGAACTCACAAAGATCCACCTGCCTCTGCCTCCCGAGTGCTGGGATTAAAGCTTTGCGTGTGCCACCACTGCCTGGCTACTAGTAGCAATCTTTACAGGGTACAGGAACATTATCCCACAGCACAGGCTGGCCTTGAATTCACAGAGATGTGCTTGCTTCTGAGATTAAAGGCTTGTGCCACCACCGCCCCGCTGGTGTTGTAATAGAAAAAAGCGTTGCATAAGAGCAAGATGTCATGCAACAAAACTCGGGGGAGGGTTTTTTTTTTTAAGAGAATGCTTGAGTTCTTTTTTTTTTTTAATTTGTTTTTAATGATTTATTTAACTTTATTTTATGTGCACTGGTGTGAAGGTGTCAGATCTCGTGGAACTGCATTTTCAGACAGTTGTGAGCTGCCATGTGGGTGCTGGGAATTGAACCCAGATCCTCTGGAAGAGCAGTCAGTGCTCTTAATCGCTGAGCCATCTCTCCAGCCCCAGGGTTTTTTATTAGGGGAAAAGGAACGTAAAAAGAGGGAAGGGGAGCAGGGAGACCAGCCTCTGGGAACAGGAGCAGCAGAAGAGAAGAGAAAAGAGGAGAGAGAAAGAGGAACAGAGACACAGAGAAGAGAGGTGGACAGGGCCTTTTTAAAAGGGAACATAGCGAATGTGCACAGGAGGTGTTATTAGTGGCTACAACTGAAGACACAACCTCTCACAAGCCCAAGGGCAGGCAAGTACAGATGCCTGAAAACTAACAGCTGGTTTACAGGTTCAGGGGTTTAGTCCATTGTCATCATGGCGGTAAGCATGGCGGCATGAGGCACTCATGGTGTTGGAGAAGTAGCTGAGAGTAGATTGTAAAGAACAGGAAGAGAGTGAGCTACCAGGCTTGAGCTTCTGAAACCTCAAAGCTTACCCTAGTGACAGATACACTTCCTCCAACTAGGCTACAAGTCTTAATCCTTTCAAACAATGCCGCTGCATGGGGACCATTTTTATTCAAACCATCACACCCAGGATGGCTTCCCAGCTCAAGTCTTAGACCTGTGAAATCCTTTGCCATGGAAGGTGATGTCAGGGTGTGGCCGTGGATCACAGCATATGATGGCTAAGTGAAGGAAGCAGGAGGGACTGGCAGTGCCCCTCCTGCCTCGGTGTCATGTGGCTTCCTCTGTAGCCAGGTTCTGTCTGGGTCTGACCTGGGTATCCCCACCAGCCTCCTCATCCCAGATTCCTGGTTGAATCTATATATGCTCCTTGGCTATATAATATGACAATTATAGGGACCAGGATATCTTCAGGGCCCCATTGCTGAGTGACCACAGACTTTTGAAGATGTAAGTCCATCCAAAGGATCTTGCAGTGAGTTGCTTACACCACAAACGCATTCAGGAGGATGATGGAAGGGCAAGCCATCGCATGGCGAGGCTTCCTCATGGAAGGATGCTCCCTTGCCTTTTCCCATCCATGGGCATGGGGTGCTCACTGCTGACTGCTCTGCTATCTGGAGTCATATGCCTCTACTTAGCACTGTGGGTGGTGGTGTGTGGGCTCAAGTGTAGGGATTTTACAGCATATAGTTTTGCTGGCAAATGTTGCTTTAGTCCTAACAGTAGGAATTGGTAGATTGCTGTTCTTTTTTTTTATTTATTATGTATGCAACATTCTACCTCCATGTATGTCCACACGCCAGAGGGTGCCAGATCTCATTACAGATGGTTATGAGCCACCATGTGGTTGCTGGGAATTGAACTCAGAACCTCTGGAAGAGCAGCCGGTGCTCTTAACCACTGAGCCATCTCTCCAGCCCTAGATTGCTGTTCTTACTACATTTTAATTTTGTGTGTGTGTGTGTGTATGTATGTATATATGTATATGTACACCCACTCATGTGCGTGCTATAACAGGCAGGGTAACTTTTGGGAGTTGGCTCTCTCCTTCCCCCATGGGTCTCAAGGATCAAACTCAGGCTGTCAGGTTTGGTGGTGGACACCACCACCTACTGAGCCCCCCCCTTTAAAGTAATAATCACACACACACACACACACACTCACAAAAGTAATAATCACAGTGGCAACAGAAATGGCACTTCCTCTCCAGCATCCCTCTGTGGGAGATGGACAGCAGTGGAACTCTGACCTTACTGTAGTGTCTCTCTCCTAGGTGGAGGAGATTCGAAGCAGCATAGCCAGGATTGCTCAACACGTGGAAGACGTAAAGAAGAACCACAGCATCATCCTTTCTGCCCCAAACCCAGAAGGAAGTGAGTCTATCTATCACCTATCTGTCCTCCAGCTTCCCCTTAGATGGAGCAGCATGCCCATGCATATGAGCACGCACAGATCCCTTGGCATTCCAGGTCACCTTTATGGGGTTTGGAAACTCCCGAAATAATGTCAGTGTTCAGCTGGGTGAGGACCAAAGGATATGTGAGTGTGCCCGGTGGGACTCCAGCAGGAACACTGGCTCTTTGTCTGCACTGAGTGCAAAGTTGAGGGATGATGGTTCTTGTGTTTGGGGACATTAACAACAGGCTGATTTGATAGGCAGTGGTTGCTTGCCAGAGTGGTTAGTAATGAAAACCGAGAGGAGACTGTGAGTCTGGAGGTCACTGTGTGGCATGGGCTCACAGAGCGGGGTCTGTGCTCAGACGCATTTCCACTTTCCTGTGCCTTAGGGTGTCGGAATATCTTTCTAAATCCTAGCTCTTAGAAACGTTGAATGCCTTTGTTTAGAAACTTTCAGTGTTGGTTGCCACTTATAGAAAACGCCAGAAAATGAGGTGTGACCTGTGGAGCCTTCCGCAGTGTCTGGTAGCTTCTACACACTTGCTTTTAGAATAGTTCACTAACCTTTGGTCACTCTGCTGCCCCAAAAGAGCCAATCTGCCTGTCTTCCTTCTGGGGAGCCTCAGAATGTCTCTGGTTTCTGGTCACACTGGGGATTTGCAGGGTCTCCCGTGCATCTATCAGGCCTCAGTGTGCTTCAACTCCTTGGGTGTTTTTCTGACTTCACCTCAGATTGCAAGAAAGATGCTGGGAGGGCCCCCAGAGCCTCCTTTGATGCTTTAGGGGTTCAGACATTGCTGTGGGACTGCCATTGTCAGGTCGCTGCAGCAGGTGATCTTTCACCCTGAGACTAGCTGGGGTACCAGGGTTGGCTCTCCAGGTCTAGAGCCAGGTTGGCTGGAGAGTGGCATATGTGGGGTGTCTGATGGAGCAACAAGGACTGGGAAGATGGTGATAGCAGGAGAGACCTCTGGTGCCTGGGCAGATCTCTTCCAGGCTGTGCTGTGTGCACCCCTTGTCCTGGTGAGCCTGCAATTGTGGCTCCCACCAACTGCATCTGATGGCACAGTTCAGGGTATGCCAGGAGCTGGTCTGGGCATGGCAGTGGTAGCTGGGGGTAGCACACTTGAGAAGAAGGCTGGATGCATCTGTGCTTGGCCTGCATGAGTGGATGTGCAGGAGTTGAGTGTTCCAGCTCAGATGCTTTATTTGAACTTTTTAAAGAAATAAAAGAAGATCTTGAAGACCTGAACAAAGAGATCAAGAAAACTGCTAACTGGATCCGAGGCAAGCTGAAGTGTAAGTTTGCCTTCTTGGGTGCTGGTGGGGTGTGGATGTTGGTACCTTACATTTCCCAACATGAAAGTTAAGACTACATATAAGTAGATTGGATATGTGTATATGGGTCTCTAGTTTTCATGCTGTATCTCATTGTGGCTCTGGTGGTGACAGAGAAAGGGGGAATAGCCTTTATATTGAGTCCCAAAGCTCTCAGATGCGTCTCTTGGCTGAAGTAAGCTTCCCAGCTGCCAGGAGCCCAGCTGAGACATGGGGCTCTGTGTTCAGCATGACACCTGGCCTGGGTGAGGGTTGTGGCTTTCTGCACAGTACTTAAATAGAAGTTGCCTTCCTTGATCTTCCTTGATCTGTGAGGAGGACGTGTTTAACTCACAGAGACACATCAAAAGGAGCAAATCTCATCTTTGCATGTCACACCCTCTTCTCAGGGACAGCAACTTTATGGTGGCAGACATGTTGCCCAGGTCCTAGTGTACTCCCCAATGATCTCAAGGCAGACCCTGAGAGTGTACAACTTAAAAACAATGTTGTTCCCAAGAATACAACCACTCAATATCCAATTCAGACTCATTACAGTGACTGGGTGTTTAAAGACACCTGGCGCACCCCAAATACACACACCAAATACTTACAAACACAGATGCACATACATGCAAACAGCCAGAGCAGCAGAGACAAATGTGGTTATACAAACGCATACATATGAACACAAACATACAAATGCATAAATACAAACACAAGGCCCAGGCACAATCACACACCTGTGTGCATATTTGTGTATGTGTTTGTTTTTTATGCATTTTTCTATATACATGTATTTATGATTTTGGTGTGTATGCATACATTTATGTATGCAAGTATGTGCACACGTGTATGTTGGTATTTGTATATATGTGTTTACATGGGTGTTAATGTGTGTAGAACAAGTTTGTGCATGTCTGTCTACATGTCTGTCATTGAATACATATATATGAAGTGTTATAAACATTTCTTTTGGTAACTAGAACAGTGGTTCTCAACCTGTGGGTCTTGCCCTCTTTGGGGGTCATATAACCCTTTCATAAGGGTCACATATTAGATAGCCTGCATATCAGGTATTTACATTACAATTCACAACAGTAGCAAAATTGTAGTTATAAAGTAATAACGAAAATGATGTTATGGTTGGGAGTCAGCACAACATGAGGAACTGTATTAAAGGGTCTCAGCATTAGGAAGATTGAGAACCACTGCTTTAGAGGATTATTTTAAGATATCACCTGTTCTCTAGTTTTATGGGTAAAATCGAGGCCATCCTGAGACTGCTGTCATACCTGAGTGACTCTGCCCTGCTTCCTTCTAGCTATCGAGCAGAGCTGTGATCAGGACGAGAGTGGGAACCGAACGTCAGTGGACCTGCGGATACGAAGGACCCAGGTCAGCCTTCCAGCCTCAGTTAGACTGAAGCAATGTGGAAGAACAGCATCTCCCTTTGTCCAAATCCAAAGCAATTCCATTTGTTTATTGTGCTGGGAATTGAATCTGGTGCCCTGCATGTGCTCAGCAAGAGCTTTGTCACTGAACCACATCTGAGCCCAGCTGTTGCATCTTTTTGTCACGTCTGCCCTCCCTCACTGTCTGTCTGTACATGGGTTGCATCTCTTCACTGTGAAGTGAAACCTCAGAAACCCACATTGTCTATGCTGCAGAGCAGGGGACCAGCTGAATCATCTGGATGCTAGTGGTTTGGTCTTAACTGTTTGGGGTTTATCGTTGAGACCTGGGAAGTTCAGTGCTGTGTGAACAAGCCTGCCAGCTCAAGGCAGTCCATGTGCCTGCCAGCTGGATTCAGCTTCCCATAATGCTCACCTCCAGAAGTCAGCTGACTGCTGTAGGCCCCAGATTATTTGTTGGTGTTATTGGTGGCATTTTGTTCTGTTTTTTTGAGACATAGTCTCACTATGTAGTCCTAGTTGGCCTGGAGCTCACTGTGTAGACCAGGCTGACCTTAAATGCAGAGATCTGCCTGCTTCTCCCTCCAGAGTGCTGGGATTATAGGTGTGTGTTACTACGGCCTGGTGACCTCAGATCATACAGCTTCCATTGCTGCTTTTGCTCTTATTTTCTACTGAAAGGGAGTAATGGTCTGAGCTTTCCAGTCATAGGTTTTACCTCTTGCAAAGGAAGGAATGGCTCTCATACACTAACACCATGTTTTCCATGTTCTAGCACTCGGTGCTGTCACGGAAATTTGTGGATGTCATGACAGAATACAACGAAGCGCAGATCTTCTTTCGGGAGCGAAGCAAAGGCCGCATCCAGCGCCAGCTAGAGATCAGTGAGTAGGGAGAGTGTGGCAGACACTCTTCAAGGATCCTTCACACCTTCAGCTGCACCATAAACTGGAAACCCTTTTCTAATGCCTGGGCCTAGTGTCAGCTAGATGTGTTCAGAGTTGGGAGTGGGGAGCCGGTACTGAGTTGCTCGTAGCTGCTGGCGCTTGTACGTCAGTCACATCTGCAAAGCTTGAGGAGCTTCTGTGTACTGCAGCCCCTCCTGCCTGGCTGGGAGATGACCTCCCATGTGTTTGTTCATCCCATTGTCACATGCCACCTTCAGGCTCACTGCTTCTGGCCCAAAGCCTGTGGTCAACCTGTAGGAGAGGCACGGCTGCTCCTCTGTAATACCAGGGCGGGTTTGTGACACATCGCAGTCACAGTTCCGCCACATTAGCCTGCCCAGGAAGGGATCTTAGAAAGGGCAGGGAAACTCTGGACGAGGCTAATGGCTCAGTCAGAGCTTAGTGATCCCTTAGTTGACTATCTCTGGCTGCATCCCACGCTGCATCCTCAGTGCAGTTCCCATTGCCCCTCAGCTGGGAGGACTACCACAGACGACGAGCTGGAGGAGATGCTGGAGAGCGGGAAGCCGTCCATCTTCATCTCGGATGTGAGTGCCACAGCCATACATCAACACACTTAATGTAGACGGGCACTTTTGCCTTTAACTTACCAGCCAGTCTGGAGTTAGTAATACTTTTCCTTTTGCCTTACGAAGATTATATCGGATTCACAAATTACTAGGCAAGCTCTCAACGAGATCGAGTCACGTCATAAAGACATCATGAAGCTGGAGACCAGCATCCGAGAGCTGCACGAGATGTTCATGGATATGGCCATGTTTGTGGAGACCCAGGTAATGAGGCATCTTCCCCATGCTCTGGCCAGGGAAGCCAGGGCTAGGTATCCAGTCTCAACTCAGGAGTTGTTTGTGGTGAATGCTGAACTGAAACCTGAGTATACACTTCCTTCGTAGGCCACTAGTCAGTTACAGGAGCCATGCTCGCTGGCCAGCTGCTTAGGTAGAGAGCCACAAGCAACACCAAGTGCTAGAGAATAATGAAACCTTCTAATGTCTGTGGTGGGTTTTAGGTTAAAATTAAAGGATATACAGAAACCTTACTACAGCCATGGATATGAATACATGTAAATAAATGTGAACACACATCATGTGACCTCAGTTACATATAACAGTGCTCACAGAGGAAGGAGGTGGCCAAGCCAACCACCCTGAAATTGGCAGGACTGTGGGGACGTTGGTCTTCCCCTCTTGGGGCTGTTGACTACAAGGATGACTGAGCACCAGGCTCTGGTGACACACACCTTTAATCCCAGCACTCGAGAGGCAGAGTCAGGTGCATGTCTTTGAGTTCGAGACCAGCCTGGTCTACATAGTGAGTTCCAGGACAGGCTCCAAAGCTACAGAGAAACCCTGTCTCGAAAAACCAAAACAAGGATCAGAATAGTGCTTAAAGACTAACATTGAGGGTAAAATCACTGAGATTGACCAGAGCCCACCTCACTCTATGGTGTTCTTGCCTGCTCTGCAGCTCAGGCAGGGATGACCAGAGTGTGTGGAGTGTATGCAAGTATAACATCAAGTTGTGTGTGCGTGGGTGATGTATCCATACTGACTCAGTTGCAGTGGGAACCTACAGAGACTGAACCAGTCTTCCAGGGTTTTCAGATCCCTCAGGAGCATCTGGGGCAGGCTAGGGTGCAGCTGGCCTCCAGCGAGACAAGCTTTTGTTCCTCACCGCCTTTCTGAGGCAGCTGTCAGGGTTCCTTGGCTGAAAGCTAGTGACGTTCTCTGATGCCTAGATATGTCAAGGGTTTAGGGTCATCCCCACATGCCTTGAATGGTGTTTATTTTGATAAACTTTATCATAAAAACCTGTGAAAAAGCTCACATACCAGATACCTGTGGAGGATGCCAACAGTTATGGAGAGGCAAAGGTAGGCACTGTGGGTTGGGGTGGGTATCTTGGGCAGGGATTAGCATTGATGGTCAGGAATGGACACGTGTGGTTTTCTTTGACCTGGGATGGACCAGTTGCCACTTAGTCTAAGAACTGCGGAGTGGGACATCTGGTGACTTTCGGGCTCTGAGGGAAGTAGTTGTGTGATGGTAGATTGATTTTGAAATCCAAAAGCTTTGTACGGCTCAGGCTTTAGTTATAATCACTCCATACCTAATGTGTGGTGGGAAGCTTCATTAGGACAAGCCACCGTAGGTGGCCTCACTTCCTGTTACCTTTTAGACGTCTGTCATTGTGTTAGGTTGGTAACACAGAAACACAGAATCAAGACTTGCTAGTGCATTTGCTTGTGAATGATAGTCACCTGTCCATCCTTCTCCAATGCTTTGCTATTGGCTGCTGCAGAACTCTGTCTCCTCCTGGACAGGACCCAGGTAATGCACCTCCCCACAACGTGCTGTAGACTCCTCCCATTGTCATCTTTGATCATCAGTTCATTGTCACCCGGAGGTTGTACTTAGTTCGCTGATATTGTAAAGATAAGCAGTGGTGGTTTTCTGCCTGTTAGAAAAGACATCATCCTTTGTGTGTGGAATGTTTTACTGAGGGTAAAACATGAGACTAACCTGAGCCTGCAGCCCTCCCTTCACTGTGCGTCTGTGAAGACATGTCAGGTCATTGCTCATCTGTGGATAGTCTTCACCTGTCATCCGTGAAGACATGTCAGGTCATCATTCACCTGTCCTTGCTGCCACCGCCCCTTTCAGCTGCTCCTGAAACAGGAATTGGGTTGCGTTTGCTGGCGTGTCTGCACCACTTTGTAACTGTGAGGGATCCTGTCTCCATCCCTCTTATGCTGGGCTTACCTGAGAGCTGTCTCGGGAGACACGAGAGAGCGAGCGACTTGACGTTTGCTGAGCTTAACACTTGTTTGCAGGGTGAAATGGTCAACAACATCGAGAGAAATGTGATGAATGCTGCTGACTACGTCGAACACGCCAAGGAAGAAACCAAGAAAGCCATCAAATATCAGAGCAAAGCCAGGCGGGTGAGTTGTGCTCTGAGGACTGAGCCCTCCTTTGATTTCTCTTCTCTTGGTCTCTAGCCATGGAAGAAGTGAAATGCCTTAAATACATGTTTTATTTTAAAAATCAAAATAATTCTTTTTGCTAAAAATTCCTAAGTTGATTTTTTTATATATATAACTATTTAGTGTTGTAAGTAATTTAAACCCTTTAGCACCTCAAGTCAGGACTGACTTGCCTCTTTTGAATTCTGTTCCCTTTTGCCATCATCTGGGCAGGGGATGACAAGGTGGTGGGATTTGGGTTTCACTTAAATTGGTGACACATTGTATGTGACAGCTGTTCACTCCGTAAGGTGACTGGCTGTCTGAACCTATGGGTGGACCTAGTGTCTTGTGTAGAAGCCCTGGGAGGCAGTCTCAAAGGCAGATGTCCCTTTGCTTAGGCTTCTGACTTGTACCCAGACTGTCCCAAGGGAATGTAACTGGTGCAGAGTCTGGATGTACTCTGCTAGCTTGAGGGGGTTCCATGAGGTTCCGTGTTGCTGTCTGCAGAGGTGCCGAAGATGATGTCTGCTTGGCAGCACGTCAGCACACCACATGGGCATGCGAGCTCTTCCAGGACAGCCGAGGGCCCGCAGAGGGCATCAGTGCCTACTACAGGTGGGAGGCAGAAGCGGGCTGGGTTCCCCTGTCAGAACTCTGACTTTCGGGACTCCTGGGAAAGTGTTCCGTGTTTCAGTCCAGCGGAATCCAGTATGAGCCTGTCATGTGCTCAGGAGAAAGCTAGTGTTACCAGATTACAGAGGACTGCCTGACTCTGGAGGCCTGAGCTCCTGGATCAGGCCACTCTGGGAAGACTGACTGCTGTAGGCATCAGGAGAGGGCCTGTAAGTTAGAGTTCAAAGTGAGTGCTGGCAATCGTCTTACTCCTAGCGAAGGATGCCCCTGACTGGCGGTGCACAATCATTGTGGTATAATCAGCCTGCTTTTCTTTGACAGAAAAAGTGGATAATTGCTGCTGTGGTGGTGGCTGTCATTGCTGTCCTGACTCTAATCATTGGCTTGTCGGTTGGCAAATGATTGCGTAGATGGCGCTGGGTGCTTGCCTCTCCCTCAGGGTGGCAGTAAGTGACTAATCAACTAATTTACTTGTTAACCTTTTCAATCAGCCAGTAGTGTGTTTGCCCAGTGTTAATATACTTAAAAGTCACGGGGCTTGTTCGCTGAGTGCTCGGTTCAGGTCTTAGTGGCCTCTGTTTGCTGAGGAGACACAGGCTGGGAGGCCACTGCCCCCAGAGCCTGTCCCCAGTGAAAACCAATGCAGATGCTGCGGTGTAGTTTTGGTGTAACTTTTAGAACAGCAGCAACAATGAAAATGACTGTAAAATGCCCTTTACTGCTCAGTTCACCATGGAACTGAGAATTGAGCTTAAGCTATGGACAACAGCCCAGACCAAACTCCTCTCAGGTCCCTACTTGGCAGCAGACCCCCTACTAAAATGAAAACCCTGATATTTAATTACCACAAGTGTCGTACAGTCACTGTGGACAGTCTTATCACTCATGGGCCTTACCCCCCCCCCCCCGCATCCTGGGGATCCCCCACTGCAGAGCCACCCTTGTGAACACTGGGCACTCAGGGGTGGTGCTTAAGAGTAATTTTTCACAGTGGCAGAAAGGCTCTCCCACGCTCCAGTTCCTCACGGCCTTTTCCCCATGATGTTTTTCTCGTGATTTGAGCATCTGTCGGGTATGGCTGCCATTGGTAGGAGCAGTGCCCTTGTGGTCAGTGCAGACCGTGAAGTTGCACAGAAAACATCCTTCTTGGGATGAGAAGGACTTGCAGCCCCATGTCTGTTGGAAAGGAGGGTTATATATCTTTCCTGATACCATCTTCTTAGTCTACTGAAAAAGATGACATTGTTTTTTCTATGCTAAAAAATTGAGTATTTTCAGTATTTTCATCAGACTTTGTAGAACCATGCACTTTCCCCCTGTAGCACAATGAGTCAGTTGGATATGTTCACAAAGGTCTGACGGTGGCTCTCAGCATGGTCAGGGAGGTGCTTGCTTTCTGTGGGTACCCTGGAAATCAGGTGTGATCCTCTGCCTGGGCTAGCTGCACATTGCTGTCGTGCCTGCAGATAAACACACATGCATGCTCATTCATTCATTTATAAATTGATACCAGACAGCTGGGCCCTGTCTAGAAAGGTTCCCTCCTCTCTCACCTAGAGCGTGTTTCCCAATGATAGACAATTGTTTTAGACTGTCGAGTTCCAGCAGGCTATTTTCTCTGCACTGTAGATTCCTGTCTCTTTTCTTGCAGAAGGTGATGTTCATCCTCATTTGTGTAGTCACTTTGCTTGTGATCCTTGGAATTATCCTAGCAACAGCATTGTCATAGCAACCACACCCCAAGAGCTCTTTGTCCTCAGAGACTCCAACCACACCTGCAGCAGAGTCAGTGTCCTGTCCTTCCACCTGTGGCTATCAGACCCAGGGCTAGTGCCACGTGCTGAGGTTTTTATTGGAGGCGAAGAATAAAGCACCACAGAGGTTTCAGGCCACGAAAACGCCACGAGCTGAGTGGACGCCACGTGCCAGCCCAGATAGCCTTGGTCTCTGAAGGGCTCCACAGAGATTTCACAATGGTGGCCTTCTCTCAGTAGCCTTAAAATAGGAATGATTGAAAAATGCAACTTAAAAAAAAAAAGATGTCAGTGTTAAAAATGTGTGTGCAGTTTAATTAGGGCGTGCTCTGTGCTCTCTCAGCTGACAGATAATGAAGAGACTGCACCGGGCCTGATTTCTGTTCATGTCTTGCTTGCAGAATCATCACAGAACTGTTTTGTAAGGTATCTGTAATTTTAAATAGCTATAAATTAAATTCCTTAATATATTAACATCGAACCCCCCCTTTTCTAAGCTAGACACTGCCTGAGAAGGACAACGGGCAGGCCCTAGGCACAGGGCTGTCAATGAAACTTGGCCTTGCAGCCCTCAGTGCTTTCTGGTGACCCTGACCTAGGAAGTGTAAGGGTCAGAAAAGTCTTGGTTGCCTTTAGCTCACTTCTGCCTGCTTCACTATGGAGGGGACACAGCCATGCGCTGTGCTCACGTCACCCTTTCCCCGTTCACTGGTGCTGGTGGAGTCTCAAGGCAAGACGGTGGTGGAAGCAGGACTTGGTGCTCACTGACCTCACAGGAGTAGTCCCAGTTGCGAAGCCATTCTTGGACAGCACCTGAAGGACCAGGTTCTCAGCTGAGCCCCCACTGATGCCCAGAGTTCCTAGGAAACTGCGAGAGATGGGATGAAGATGCGGGCTGATTTCCACTTGTGAGCAGGTGGCCCAGTGACTGCGTATCTGTGTGCTGACAGCTGACTGAGGATGTGAAGGGCACCAAGCCCAGCGAACTCCGCCGACTGCCGACTGTGTGTGTGTATGCTCACTCTGCCCAGGCTCGTTTGGCTGGATCTGATGTAGCCATGCTGGTTCAGGCAGCAGTCGTGAGATGTACTGAGCTCTTTAGAAACTACCACCCTAACAGTGGCGAGTGTCACTCATTTGCCTTCTCACACCTCCCAGCCTGACACCTCAGTGCCGAGAGCTACTGCAGGAGGCTGGCCTGCAGTGGAGACACTCCTGCCTGGAAGCTCCCCGAAAGCTCTGAAGATGGAGCTGTGTCTGTGGAGCTCCTGCCCTCTCTGTTCCAGTGCCATTGGATTTGGCTGCAGAGCACCGCGTGCCACTGAGGTTCCCAGCCCTCGTGGCAGGTTTCCTTCAGGTTTAGCCCGAGTCCTTGGCCTGCAGTGTGTTCCTCACTATGTGCTCAGGTGGCCTCCTGGCCAAGCGGGTGCCTGATTCTGGCTTTGTTAGTGAAGCAGGGGTGTGTGGGTGAGTGAGTCAGCCCTCAGGATATATTTCTATGCTGACTTCATAGCCTGTTTAAAAATACATTTACAGATTGTCTCGTTACTTTTTCCAACAATTTCTTCAAAAATTTTGTGTTTACATTAAAAAGTCAGAGAAGCAAACGATATTTTCTGCCTCATCATTCTAGAAGGACTTTTGGGGAGCTCTCCATTAGAGAAGGCCCCATGGTGTGCTGCTTTCTGAGGAGACCAGAACAGGTGTCTGCTCACTTCAGATGAACCAACCACAGACCAAAGTAAGTCTAAACACAACTGCCGTGTAGCTGTGTCTCCCAGGCAGGACATGGCAGCAGTCATCTGGAGCAGAGCCACTGAGGTGATCGCAGGAGACTTCTGCTGGTCAGGCCCATTGCTTTGGAGGGCTATGCACAGGCTGACTGGGCCTTGGGGCTCTGTGGTAGTGTAACTGTCCATAAGGTGTCCAGGGACTGTCCCATGGTACAACTTTTCTCCAGTCTTAATGCAGCAGGCTGCCCAATAGTGACGAAGACTCTTGTAGGTGACCATAGTGAATTCATTGGTTCACCAAATGGGACTTGGATGGAATCCTTCCTTGGGTCTCTTGGTGTCTCCTCTATCTGAGGTCAGCGGACATTCTTTACGTCTTCCCAGTGTTCACCCTGACTAGAGGGAGTGTGAGGACATGGGAGAGGAGGGAACCTAACATCCTGTGGAGTCTCACCCTCAGTCCAGTCCAGTTCCACATGGGACTCGGGCCCAGATATGTACACAGTAAAGCGTAGGTCCCTATGTGTGTTGGGGGCCTGTGCTGTACCAGCAGCTGGAGTTAAGCTAGGCCACAGTGACCTAACCCCACCTTGTCTTTCTAATGCTTTATAAAACAGCCCCATAGGGCTTCTTGTTACCTGGGGCTCTGTAGCTTGGCCCCAGGTCCTCTGCAGGGGCATAACCTCTCTTGGTCAAGGTGCAGAAAGGGAGCAACCTCATCTCATCACTTCATTTCTTAGACCAGAGTTTTCCATCCCTTTCTACCTGAACAGGTGTCGCAGGCTTCTCAATAAGGCTTCACTAGCTTCAGTGTGCAGGAGTGTCCGTGCTCGCGAACACACACACACACACACACACACACACACACACACACACTGCCCTTTCATAAAGGGCATCTCCTTTCATCTCCTTTCTTTCCATGGAAAAAGCTCTCGCACCATAAATTCCTGGATATCCCATCTGTGAACCTGGTGAGCCCACCCTGCTGGGAGCAGGAGAAAAGTGCCAAAGGAAGTAAGGTCTGGGCCCATGGGGTCTGAGGTCCAGAGGAGCAGGGCAGGAACCACACATCTCAGTGGCGGCTGTATGCTAGGTTTGGACTCTTAAGGGAAAAATCTTATGAAAAACATTTGTGCAAAGGAAGAAATGGGTGAGGACATGGTGCTGCAGCTAAGACTGCATGAGGAACGGTTCTGGGTGGGTGGGGACATACCTGGTGGACTAAATCTCTCAAGGAGAAGGCTGTGTGAGTACTGGGCAGCAGCAGTCAGGAGAGAGACCCTGAATGTGTGTGGTGGGTGAGGAATCAGACCCTGTTGGGCCTGGGAGCCATCCCCTCTGACTGACAGTTGGTTCACTTACTTAGTCTTACCAAGTATACATGTGACAGGCCCGAGGACAGCTTCCTGTCCTGCTTTGATTGCCAATCTTGCCTCACTTCCTGGCCTTCCTTGCTTCCTGTTTCTGCTTCACTTCAGGTTCTTGCCTTGCTTCCTGTCTCACTTCCTGGCTTACCTTGCTTCCTGTTCCTGTTTCACTTCCTGTTCCTGTCATACTTCCTGTCTTCCTGACCTGCTTTGGTTCCTGTTCTTGCTCCACTTCCTGTTCCTGTCTCACTTCCTGGCCTACCTTGCTTCCTGTTCCTGTAAAACTTCCTGTCTTCCTGACCTGCATTGATTCCTGTTCTTGCTTCACTTCCTGTTCCTGCCTCACTTCCTGGTCCACCTTGGTTCCTGTTCCTGCCTCATTTCCTGGCCTGCTTTGCTTTCCCTCGTGCCTTGTGTCCTGTCCCACTTCCGGTTCCTGCTTTGCTTCTTATTTCTTGGGCACTTGCAACTCGCTTTGCTTCCTGCCCTGCTCTACTATCCCTCCTGCACCATCCTGTCTTGCCTAGCTTCCACTTCCCACTCTTCTCCCTTCTGCAGCTTTCTCTTCCTGCTGCACTTGAGCCCCCCATGCTGGCTTTAGAGTCACACAGTCCCAACACCTTCCTAGCCACCAGCCTTGCAGCCGGTGGGACAGACCAGTGGAGCATCCTCTGAGGTTGGGGCAGAGTGCTGGGGACCCACTTCTGAGTCTCTTCCACCCGGATGTGCCTGCTGTGCATGGAAGTGCAGTTCCCCAGTGACTGCTCACAGCTGACTGCATTGACTTCTCTGTTCAAGTAACACGTTTCTGTCTCAAGACCAAAATAATACTATACAACTAAAGCCAAAGACAGAATCACATAAAAGCAGAGAGTGCTAGACGCTTGGTGGCCTTTAATCTCAGCACTTGGGAGGCAGAGCCAGGCAGATCTCTCTGAGTTCAAGGCCAGCCTGGTCTACAGGGTGAGGCCATGGTCAGCCAGGGCTACACAGAAACCCTGTCACGAAAACAAACAAACAAACAAACAAACAAACAAAACCAAACAGAGAGCAAGGTAGCCACTAGAGGTCAGGATGAAGGCCAGGATACTAAGCCAGACAGAAACGGGTCTCCTGGTCCCCAGGCCACCTCCATCAGTGCCACCGTTCCCCACTGAAAAGTCACTTGAGCCCCCAACTAGGGTTCTGCTGGGTCTCTTAGGACATGCTTTAAAAAAGATTTTCATTCCTTCCTCTTCCTCTTCCTCTTCTTCTGTATGAGGGTTTTACCCACACACATGTCTGTGCCCCACGTGTATGCAGTGCTTGAAGAAGGCAGGAGAGCATCATATCCATGGGATTGGAGTTGCCAAAAGCCACTAGATGGGTGCTAGAAATGGAACCTGGGTCCTCGAGAACAGCAAGCAGCCAGTGGTCTTATACTGCTGAGGGATGGCTCTCTCCAGACATTTTTGTTTTGTTTTTCGAGACAGGGCTTCCCCGTGTAACAGCCAGGGACTCAATTTGTAGACTAGGCTAGCCTTGAACTCACAGATCTGTCTGTCTCTGCTTCCTGTGTACTGGGATTGAAGGCGTGCACCACCATGCCCGGCCATATGCTATTTTTGAAGGCTCTGTGCGACACGGGTGAAGCCTTGGTCTCATCTACCCTGATTAGTAGCTGTCACACCCTGGTTCTCTGGAGACTGTGGTCTGTGCTGGTGGGACCGTTTGCTTTGGGTGTCTTTTAGCAGATTGAGCTCTGAAAAGAGACATTCTCCCCAAGGTGTCCATATATCCCACTCCCCCTACTGTGCTGGGGCTTTGGCTCAGAGAGGCCTAGCATAGCCTTTTCCCCTCAAAAACCCCCATTCTCAATTTCTTCACATGATTATCCCTCTGTTCTTCCTGCCTCACACATGTACTGTCTGCTCTGACCAGCAGGTGGCAGCGTTGCTTATTGTGCTCTCTGTTCTAGGACATATAAAACGTTCTCTGTTTATACATACGTATAAAAGCTAGATATATATATACACACACGTATGTACATGTAAAATAACACACGCATATACAAATAATGAAGACTCAGAACAGGAGTCAGCATCTGCAGTGATGGCCCATGTCCTTGCATTTAAATGCTACAGCTGATTTAACATACTGACTCGACTCCATTGTTCAAGTGTGGGCAAGTATGGAGGCGCCCTTTAACTGGGACTTTGGAATCCAGAATGGGGAAAGGGCAGTGAAATTAGTTCTGTCCAGAAGAGGTGTGTTTTAAAGGGGTCCCCCCCTTAGCTGTTCGGGGAAACAGCTAAGGAAGGACCTATTTTGGCCCCCAGTTTCTGAAGTTTTGGCTGCAGTAAATGGCTCCATTGCTTTGGCAGAGAGGTAAGGACAGGGAGTGTGGCAGAGGCTGTTTACTTTATGACAGGCAGGAAGCAAGAGACACAGAAAGGGACCAGGGACAAAATAGACCTTCCAGAGACACACCCATCCGGGACCTTGTGATAGCTGTTTTTGTTGTTGTTTGTTTGTTTTGTCCTTTTGACATGCTAGGATCATCTGAGAGGAAGGAACCTTAAGTGAGAAAATACCTCAGTAAGATTAGCCTGTGGATCATTTCCTTAACTGATGATTGATGTAGGAGGATCCAGTTCACCGTAGGTGGTACCGCCCCTGGGCTGGTGCCACCTCTTGGCTGGTGGTACTTGGTGACTGAGCCATTGGGAGAAAGCCAGTAAGCAGCACCTCACTGCTTCAGTTCGTCCCTCCGGGTTCCTTCCCGGGGTTCCTACCCTGGCTTCGCTCAGAGCTGGACTGTGAGCTCTAAGCTGAAATGAATCCTTTCTCCCCCACGTTGCTTGTGGCCATGGTGTTCCTAACAGCAGCAGAAAAGTAACTGAGACAGGCCCCTTCCTCCCAGGAGCCCACTGATAAAGTTAGCACTTTGATCATCTCTCGATTGAGACTGAACATGAGCCTTTTGGGGGTTGCTTCATAACAGAACCACAGCAAGGTAAAAGGCAAGAATTCCCTGGCCATGCAGGTAAGTGGGGAAGACAGAGGAAGCCTGCATTCCACCAATGGAATGATTTGCAGGGCAGGAGTTGCATAAAAGAGCTTGGTGATTTCTTTAGAAGTGCTAGGAGAGAGATGGCTCAATGGTTAAGAGCACAGGCTGCTCTTCCAGAGGACCGTTGGTAACTCCAGTTCAAGGGAATCCAATTCTTCCTTTTGGCCTTCCTGGACATCAGGAATACATGTGACATACATACATGCAGATAAACTTCTAAACATTAAATAAAAAATAAAATCTTTTAAAAAAGAAGTCAAGTTGTCCTCTGACCCAGAAATTTCACACTTAGGTGTTTGCCCAAGAGCACAAAATTATTCATTCATACAGTGACTCCAGAAGCATTCCTCAAGTAATGGAAAGCAACTCCCGACGGCCCTCACCGGTGACAGGATATGACTAGCCCCACAGGGAGTGTCCCCCAGCAGCACGAGGTGGCAGGCCAGGACTCACCTCAC